AGTAATAAAGGAAATGGCAGAGGTCCCAAACAACCTGGACTATGCCCTAAATGTAAAAAAGGAAAACATTGGGCAAATGAGTGTAAATCTAAGACAGATATCCAAGGATATTCTTTGCCTCAACACCAGTCGAGAAACTACCAAAAGGGGCCAGCCCAGCCACGGCAAATAACAGGGGCATTGTCTATTTACCCTCCTGTCCTTATGCCGTCTCAAGGCCAGCAGGCTACACAGCACCCAGCCCGCCCCAGAGAGCAAAATAGATACAAGAGCTACTCCGAGCAACCCCCGGAAGTACCGGGCTAGACCTTGGATCCATAGGAATAAAACATTCTGTCTGCCCTGGGTGCTGCCCTTGCCTACTGAAATAAACAAAATATCATTAGATTTAAAAACTCCCACATAGAAAAGAAATGATAATTTCCTTACATTTCTGATACAGCTACAACAAATGCCACCAGATCTAAAATTTAAAAATGCGTCTGGGATTTCTGTGCACGTGTAAAGAGAAAACTGGCTTGGAACTAATGCGCACAACGTCTGATTTTGGACATTTAAATAAAGTTTCAAACTGAAATCTCTTTACAAATATACAAAATAAAACCAAGACTGATTATTTCCTAAAAAAAGTGGCAAAATTTAACCCCCCCAAAAAAAAGATGCTAGCTAGATTCTAGCAGCAGGATTGGCATTTCCATAATAAAAGACAGTTTTTAAATACTAATAAAAAATATTAAAAAGTTAATTTCAAAGCCAAAAAGGAAATTCAATAAAATTATCTCTATTACAAAAATTTGCTAAAGAATATGCCTTAAAATAATAAATTAAATTTAAATCTCAAGAATTATTGAAATATACTAATTATAAAAATCTAAATAGCCCAGGTAAAAGACGGCTACGCCCTTTAATTAAGGCTGGCTTCCCAAAGTAATTTCTAATAGAGGAAGGGCTCTATTAGAAACAGAGCAGATAGGCCAAAAATTTCCTACCAGTAACAACTTTTAAAAAAAGGCTTGCTTCTCAGTTTCCCATCCTTGGTAAAAAGAATATAACTAATTCACATTTTAATGATTACCTGTTTTCAGTAAATGACACCCCAAGGCTTAGGAGTTTACTAAATTAAATATTCTGAAATAACAAAATGCTAAAATATTAATCTAAATATCCCTCACGAAAAATCTAGAAAACAAAATTAAATCTATTGATTATGTCATATATTTTTGAAATTTATTCTTAAAAATATTATTAATTAAAAAATGCTAAATATTTAATTTTCCAGCTAAAAGTTTAAAAT